CAGAAAAAGTGCACACGTCCCAGATCAATCTGTCATTATCTGCTTGTTCAAATAAATCCTTTCCCATCGTCCCTTTTTAAATTGCACTGCATCTAAACCAAACAATTTCTCAGCTTTATAAGACGTGACCATGTCAAACTGATGAAACAAAAAGAATGTGCTACATGTTGCCAGGGGACTTGAGAATGACAGGAACAGGCTGACCTAACAAATGTAGTAATATAGGAAACTCTTCACTGTGAAACACAATCACCAATGTAATGTAAGGCAATAACAGCAGACACTAGCAGGTAGATTCCTTCTCTTATATCTGTAAGTTATACATTGGAGAAGGAGATGCGTTTCCATCAGTCCTTCCCCAGCCTCTTCCTTCCACTGCCTCTCCACCAGCAGCTGCTGCACTGCACACCCTCTGCTGCCTGTGGGACAGGGTCTCAGCATGCCTGAGTCCCATGCAGCATCAGAGCACACATCCCTGTGCTCCTTGGAACACTATGGCACTTGTGACTGTCTCAGAGCAGTAGAGAAATAAAAACCCTTGCAAGTGTACAAATTGCTATGTCAGTCAAGGCAGCATTTCATCACATTATTGCTGTCTGGCACCAGCTATTAACAGGAAAGGCAAGGTGTTCTTTGCAAAATCTGTCTAAACAGAGTGGGTTTTGCAGTTTCTCACTAAAAAAGGGGTTGTCACTAGGAGCAGGAAGGTTAATATCCAAATTTGTTTTAACTTCTTCTTCATCCTTAGAAATCTAACTCTGGATGCTGTGAAGATCTATGTGAATACTGACACCCTTCGTAAAAACATTGTGCTGATGATAACAACTAGCAATGAGTGCCACAGGGTAATCACACATTTTCACTCTTTTAAATCCTAGGGAAATTCCTGTCAGTACTAATTTAAATACGTCTGCTCTTCCTTACAGGACTCCAGTTTGTGTATTTAAGAAAAGCCAGTCTATTTGATTTGTGCAGCATGTTATTTACTGTTCTCACATTTGTCTTCAAATATTAACAGCCTCTGCTTCTGAAACCTCACGTGACAGCTTTTCGTATGCTAGATATCATTCTTACTGCTAGTTTTTAAAGCCTTCCTTTTCTATTCTCACTTGGTTTTTAACATAGTAAATAGACATGAGTATTGGACTACCTTTGAATAGTACTATTGACGTGAATAGTGATCAGAAGCATTTTCAGTTGAAAATATTACGTAATTTACATTTCTTTTTCACCCCAAAAAAAAAGTTTGACCAAAAACGTTTACTGATAGGTCAGTAAAGTATTTGATTTCTACAGTAAAGTACATAAAAAGTTGTTTCTTACCTGATATTTTTGCTCCCCAGCAACAACTCTAACAGAGTAATAAATATATAAGCATACCAGAAACTTATCAAAGCATGGGAGACACTAAATATATTTTCTTGATCTGTTTGATACTGATACTTTCAACTTTTTTTCCATCAATTTCTTTGTCTCATAATAATCTGCTTTCTTTTTAAATCTTAACTATGAAGGCTTTCTTACTGATGTAGCCATGGGGAAGCTCAGCTCTTTTTAATGAGTTTTATAGGTAATTTAGAGACCAATGAACAGCTTCAATCATCCATAAGTTATTTTTTGCAACTACATGACAGCAACATGATACAGCTTCTTAGAGGAGCTACATTACCAAGAACTGAATAAAAAATAAGATTTTATTTCTCAATAGATGAAAGATAAAATAAATCACCTATACTTTTCTATTTTGTGAGGCATTTTATTAAAATGGCTCTTCCTTACTGAATGAGAAAATGATCATAGTTTTACAGAAAGGTTACAAAGTATTCCACCTCGGCAAGAGGACTTGAAAACAAAATATGCAGGCGTCTGAAAAATATTAAGGTGAGTAATACCCACTGGAACCACCTAACTAACAATCCTGAATATGATGCATCTAGAGTGGCATGCCTTTCTTCAAACTCAAATGGAAAATTTGGATTTAAGGAAAGAACCACTGAGCAAAGTTGCATGAACTGAGATATACACTATTGCAAACTAGGTAGCCCCTTCTGGTCTAAAACCATTTGACATAATTTTAAAATATTGGGTGAGAATGAGGTCTAATGGGAAGCAAGGTTACTTAGGGGAGAGAAGATTTTGCATGGTACTGAAGGTAAGGACTAAGCTCTTCTTGAATATGTTGTAGGAGAGGTGTATAGCAGAGACATCAAGCAAAGAATGCTTACACTACATTTACACTTGGTCTAAACTAAATGGTTTTGACAACCTTTCATGATTGCTAGAAAGAAAATAAGCATCTCCAGTGGGTGGGTCTGAATACACCTTTCTCACACAGTCACAGGATGACTAACTAACTACAGGGACTAGAGACAGATGAGTTGGATCTCACCTGAAAGGGGACAAAATAGATCAGAAAAGAGACATACATGCAAGATATCTGGGCCACTACAAAAAATTTTACCTGGACGGTGGCAGTGAAACTGGATCTGAAGCTAAAGCTCTTTTAATCTAATCCATCACCATGGAAAGATAGAAACTAACACATGTAGATAATTAGACAAATGTCCTGACTACACTAACCTGAACTTAGGAGTTTTATTTGCATATGTAAATGTTTGTAAATGTATGCATATGTAAATTAAAATTTTGTTAAGGTCTGCTTGAGTGCAGACCTGCAGAGCTGGGACCCAGAAACCTGAACCCCTCCAGCAGTAGATCCTCTCAACAGGGCTCATTTTCTTGAGCACATACCAGGTAAGGCCATATAAATATGACCATATAGATATATATGCAAATAAAACTCCTAAGTTCAGGTTAATGTAGTCATTTGTCTAATTATCTACATGTGTTAGTTTCAATTTTTCCATGGTGATGACTTAGATTAAAAGAGCTTTAGCTTCAGATCCAGTTTCACTGACACCGTCCAAGTAATATTTTTTGTAGTGGCCCAGATACCTTGCATGTATGTCTCTTTTCTACTATTTTTTTCCCATGTCCAAGTACTTTGGACGGAAGTCCTGACAAGCAATGGACAAAATGTACATTCAGTAATGTTTTCACAATTTCCAGTCAGAATTTTGAAAAAATATATGGATTTATTATTTCAGAGAAATGTTAACCATGTAATTAACATGACTGTATTTCAGTTCTCTGCAATGCACTGAAACAATAAAGCTCAGCTAAGTCTTAGCCTTTTTACTGCTGACATGGTCTATAGATTGTCCCTTAACTCTGTACTTTTAAAACAATAAGGTATATTCTGGCTTTGGCTACATCTCAACACTGAGTAGATCTGAAATACAACCTCTTGTAATTTTTCCAGATATTTTGGATCAAGGTTTCTGATTTGAGCAAGTACAAATATTTTAAAACTTCCCAATTACAAGACATTGTATTTCAGATATACTCAGTGTCGAGATATGTTTAGATCCAAGACTTCAGGCACTTCAAGTAACTAAAATATTTAAGGTAATATTTTAGTCATAAAAATGAAATATTTATGATTTTATTTTGTCAGTTTTAATAATTTATCACTGGAAGCAATGAAATACTGTTTACGCAAAGGCTATTAAAAAGTGTGGAATTTTATCTAAAACCTTCTTCTCTGAAGTTACTGAATGTATTCAATGAGAATTAAATTTCAAACGAACACCTACATTTCAAACTATTTCTGTGCATTCCATTTACTAGTGGAAACACACACTGAGCCCTACAGCTTGTTTGGTCAAAGCCAAATGGAATCCAAACCTCATGAGATTCCAAAACTTTTGGAATCAAATCATCAAGTGTAGGCTGAGAAATAATCCTCTAATCTCTTTATTCCAGTAGACACGAGCAGAGAGTGGTTTGAGCACAAAATATCTTTTCAAAGCTTTATATTTTTCATGCAATGCCCTGAGTTAGCACTGATAATGTTCATGAGTATCTTGTTCAGGCTTGTTCAAACTGAGTTACAAAACACGTCTACTGAGACCAATAACATTTATATACTCAGATTGTCTGTTTTCAGAGGATGTATAGCAATATTTCTACCCTTCTCAAAGGAGACTTAAAAAAAAAAGCAGGATAACTTAATATTGTTGTAAAAATTAATTGTTACTATTGTATTTTATTACATAATGATGGACAAAGTATTTAATCAATGAAGATAAAAGATTCATATTTCTTGTATCAGTGAGATAAGTCAGAGGGTAAGATACCTATCCTGAAAAGCTGATAATACAATCCGAGCCTGATGCTCCTCCTGGAAATTTATTAATCTGATACCTATTCAACTGGCAAGTTGTCGTTTGTGTGCTTCCTGGAATAGACACAAAACAGGGAACTGCTCAAGCCCATTACATTATCATAGCTAATGGTAGCTTTCAGTTTGCTGATCCAGCTAGCCCTGTAGTATAGCTTTTACAGTTTCTAAGAAATCACAGCATATTAGTAGCAATTAATTGGCTCTATAAACACTTCCAAAATGGACTTATTGAACAGCATGAAGATAAGCAGAAGTTCTCTGCTTCACTTGCTTTTCTTCCCCCATAGTTCATATGAGACGTTTTTGCATTCGTCCTCCCTCAGGACAGATATTGAAAAAACCATCCCTAAATGGGAGCAATTTCCACTTCTGGAAATGCTAACGGAAAGGAAATTTTAAGAATCCCAGATGCCATCAGAGCTTTGCAGTGTCCAGCAGACTTTTGGGAAATGTTACCTGTGCTCAGTTCAAATGAGGAAATATATCAGATGTAGTGAAAAAGACACAACCACTTGGTGTGTGTCAGGTTTTGGTAGGCAGCTGAGCTTCATAAATGCTTTTACTTGAAAAAAAAAAAAAAAAGCATAGACATAGAGCACAACTTCTGATCCATCCCAATCACACAGAAATTACAGGTGACAATTCTCTCATGCACTAGCTCTGACTAAAGCTTACAGCTTAACAAAACCCTACAAAACAACAATAAGGGCATTTTCTCTTAACAGGGCAGCAGGAGATGTTTAAGTATCCTTACCAGCATGGCCCGCAGAGGAGTCAAAGGGAATCTCAGGAGCTGTGCTTTCTGCATGTGGAGAAGCCGCAGGTAGTCCCAGAATGAGTTGACCCACGTCGCTTCCCACTGGTTGGTGCTGATCAGACCCAGCAGAGCTGAGGACCAGCAGAGGTTTGCTTTGCGGCCCCACTCCCTCCTTGTGGAAGCTGTGGCACTTTCGGTTCTCCTCACCAAAATGGGGACTGAAAGTCTCAAAGGGTCGGCCCTGCTTGTCAGCTGTTTTCTCCCGGGGTTTCACGGTTTTCTGAGGAAAAGTGCCACCTGCCTTGACACTGTAATTGGGTCCAGGAGCAGGCAGAGAACCTTCACTCAGCAGGTTTTTCAGATCTTGCACACTTAGTTTAGAAATGTCAGGTGCCCCTGGAAAGGACTCTGCAGTACCGCGTCCTTGTGTGGTTGCAGTACCGCCCAGGGAGCCCACCTTTGTCACATGAAACTTGACATCTCTTTCTTCCACCCCACGGTGTTCTTCTTGCTTTCTCTCTGCCTTCTCATCGTGCTCTCCCCTGCATGCTGCCTTTGTGCATGCAGCTTTCCCTGCACTCCTTGCAGGTCGCTCACCTGTGGGCTTCTCTGTTTTAGCGGGTATATCTATTTTCTCATCCATTTGCCCTAATATTCTTTTCCCAGTGTCATCATTTTCTTGGTTTTCTCGTGTTTCTCCAGACACGTCTTCTTTCACGCTGCTGTCAGTATGGGAACTGTCACATCTCCCTTTGTCCTTTTGTACTGAAGGAAAGCTAACCGGGTTTTGAAGAGATGGGTCTGATGATGGTTCTGAGCAACCAGTAGTTCCTTGATGAGGACACAGATCTGGGATTTCTGAAGTGCAGGACAGCTCCATCTTCTCATTTTCTAGAGAAGGAACGTACTTTGTAGGACCTTTGACTCCCTTTTTCTTTCTGAAACCACATATATTGTTGCCGTCAACTTCATCATTGTCCCTTTCAGATGTGTTCTGCAACCAGCAATAAAATACACAACCAAATAACAGGCATGAATGAAACAGAACACGGCAATAGAGTACCACCACCAGCTGCATTTATGTTGTAGCACTTCGATTAGTTCTTGCTTATGGAGGTATCTGTGGGCACCTATAAACCCTCAAATTCTGCTATTTTGATTTTTAAAAATCTCACAGAATTCTTTTCCTTATGTTTAAGAACAAAATTGGTGAAAATACCTTTATAATTTAGTTTTTAGGCAGATTTAGTAGATGAAAGTACAGACATTGTACACTGTGTGATATCATTTGTCAAACATGTGCCCTTTAAATGTGAAAAAAAACGTATTTTAATAATTCTTTTTCATATTATAAACATTTGTATTTTTAAAGGAAATTTATTGTCCTGAAACACAGAACGCTGGCAATCCATGTAAGTATGGGAAGTGAAACCTGAAAATAAACAGTTTTTGGAAGAATTTCAGGATCTAATTTGGCCAAATATCTGAACCTTCAGGGCAGTGATAGAAAGATCAAACCCACGTTTGAATGTGTAAACAGGAAAGAACCAGAAGATGATGTTTACCTTTATATATGGCATTGATATAATTTATATTGTAGTGCTGGGAACAGATTTTAAAATGGTTGTAAACAGGTGGAGAAGGTGAAAAAAGGAGCTACAGAAATTAACTGCTTGCATTATCCCAAAGAATATCAAAAAGTGTCTAGATCATCGTCTCTCCTAAGTATCCTGATCTTACCACCACAAGTGTGATTAATCTGATGGTGACTGGGAAAAGGATAGGAAATCAAATCCAGAGACGTTCAAATTAAAATATAGCAGACATTTTAATATTGTGGGTGATTAATTATTTCACAGATTATCAAGGTAGGGATTGAATTCTCCACCTCATGATGTCTTAAAATAGACTCCTTAATATGGTTTAACCAAAATATAAATTGTTCTGTAACTGATCACAAACTGTTATATTGCTTCTGAATACCTACTCAAGCTTGTATTTAAGACTCAGTAGCTTAACCAGCAGTCCTTGGTTTGTTTGGTTTAGGCTGGAATTAACACCTGTAAAAACACTGGGAGATCAAGATATATCCTCTGAATTAAACCATTCTTTACCTTTTCTTCAAAGGAATA